TGTATTCGTTATATTTTTCTAGTACCTGTTTGATCGTATGGATATGGTCAATTGTTGAAAATCCTTTCCTAAAACCTGCTTGTTCGACTGGCTGTTGTTCATCTAACAGTTTGCTAATTCTGTCTAGCATTACTTTTGCAAAAACTTTGTATACGTTTGACATAAGGCTTATCGGTCTATAGTTTTCTATGTTTTCCTTATTGCCTTTTTTGTATAGTAGAATTACGTGAGATTTAGTCCATTGTTTTGGAATTTGCCTACTTGTTAAGATTTCGTTAAAAATCTTTGTAAGAATTGGAGTCAGTTCTTCTATATTTCCCCTCATAAGTTCGTTGGTAATTTTGTCTGGTCCCGGGGACTTCTCCATCTTTTGACTCTTAATTGCCTTTTCGACTTCACACAAGAGGATGTCCGGCACAGGCTCTGATTTCCCTTCATCAATATGTTGAGTGAGCACTCTTCTGTGGTGACCTATTGTAATTTGGTGCTGTCTGTCTAGCATACAGTTGACGGTAGAAACTTGTGGCTAGATCTTTGATATTCTGTCGTATCGTGGTAGTATTCGACTTATCCTTTAGTTTGGGTATCCATTCTTTGCCTACTTCTCGCAGTTCTTTCAGAGCTTTTTTCACACCCGCCTTTTTTGTATGTAGTGCTCGAATGTTTTCAACCTCTTGACCTTGCGATCTTTGCGTATACTTTCTCTTATTATTTTGCTTAAATCTGCAACCAGCTTTATATTTTCTTTTTTTTTGGATAGCTATAAGCTCTCTTCTTTCTCCGATTAGTTGTAAGGTATGCTCACTTAGTTGATACTTATTAGGTTTGTGTGCGTTATTTTTTGAGATATACAAGCTTTGCAATTCGTTTTCTAGTATATCATATTTCAGTGTTGTTTCTATTTCATCGCTTGTTATATGTTCGTTTGTTTCTTTGAACGGGTTGCACTTCATCAGGCAAGGTTGACTTGGCAATTTAATCATATTGTTTTTAATATGATTGCGAGATATTTTTGTTTGGAATTTTCTAAGAGAGCAGCGTACCATACGATGGTTTGTGTTAAAGTTCAAATTGCTTATAACTTATAAGTGAAAGCTCTTGGGTAGTTGGTTATTATATAATCAATTTCGTTTTTATAAGAACCATCCGGGGAAATCCATGTCCATTTATTATATTTGTTCTTATTAAAGTTAGTATTTAATGCTGATAGGTTATGCTCCATTAGAAATTCAACTAGTTTCTGTCCGTTGCGACTTCTTTTTCCATGTCCGAACTTGCCAAGTACGTACTTACTATTATTTTGTCTAGCCCCAATTTGTGCATTGAAATCCCCCATTAAGATTATATGTTTGTCGGTGTTGTTTTTTATAGCTAAAGATATCTTATGTTTGGTCTGAGTTTTCAGTGGGCGCATATGCCTGTATGATAGACCAAGGTTTCTTATATCCTGGTAGTTTTACATTTAGTATTGCTAATCTATCAGATATTCCTATCAATTCTTGTATACATGTTCTCAGTGACTGTTTTATTAAAAAACCATCACCTCTACAACCAGCAGTTTCTCCTTTATGGTACAGTATATAGCTGCCGTGGTCTTCTATTTTTTCTCCCAGTCTTCGCATTTCACATATACCTAGTATGTCGTATTTTATGTTTTTTAATGATTTTTCTAATTCTAGCAAACTTTCGTGAGTTCTAAGGGTTCTCGTGTTTAGTGTTGCGATATGAAGTACCTCACATCTTTTAGTTGGAAGGTAGTGGTCTAGTACTCCCGCGGGGACCAGCCGTGATGGGAGACTGTTAGCTTGTTGTTGTTTATTTTGTTGTAGTTATCCGGTTTGTGGTGCCTGTATCTTCGTTTGTGTATGAGTATGTACATATATTACATTTTCATAAATATATTGCGATTCCAAAGTTAATATCCTTATTTTCTTAAATTTTTTTCGAGAAACTGTTTACAATTTAGGTTAAAAATCGCCCGTACGACTCTCTTTTGAAAAACAAATATAGCTTCAATATCAGTTGCATTACCCCATAGCAAAAATTCCATAAGACATTACGCTATGATAGTAACTAAAATACATTAATCTAGCTGTCTCAACATCTGTGACACTTCTAATCTTACTTACAGCATATGCTGCAGAACTAAGTCTGCTTGCTAATTGAGATATATCGGGGCCCCACCGAAGTTTCGCGTTAATAGTAATACCAAGAAAAACAGTGATATCCACAAGACTTAATTCCTCTCCATTTAAGATCACATTGGTATTCGAATGTTTTACATTAGGTATTGTAAATTTAATACATTTTGTCTTATTGCCGTTTAAGAGCAAATTGTTGGCGTTAAACCAATGTTATAATTTCGATAGAGTATTATTTACATCTTCATAATTAAATGACTGCCGTTTGAGTTTGAAAAGTAAAGACGTATCGGCAGCAAATAATACTATATCGTGATTGTTCCCTACAAGATAAGGTAAGTCATTAATATAGATTAAAATCAGGAATGGGCCAAGAATCGAGCCCTAAGGAACGCCTATTAATACTACCGATCCGGAGGAACCTTTACCATTGATCACGACTTTTTGAGTTCTGTTACTTAAATATGAAGTAATAAGTCTAAGCGCCTAATTTTTTACACCGTAATATTGTAGCTTCCTGATTAATGTCTCATGATGAACACAATCGAAATCTTGAAAAGGTCACAGAAAATACCTAAGGCATCTTGTGAATTCTCCCAGGTATTAAAAATATATTTCATAAGCTCAGCACCGGCGTCAGACGTCAAGCGACCCCTTGTAAACCAATTTGGTTTTATGCAGTTATTTATTTATATTAAAAAAAATTAACAATTGATACAAAATTGATTTTTCAAAAAATTTACTGAGAGTTGGTAGTACAGAAATAGTTCTAAAATTAGCGGGGTCTAATGTACTACCAGATTTAAATAAAGGTATTACTTTACTATACTTCATTAAATTAGGAAACACACCAGAATCGATACAAGTATTAAAAATAATATCAAGACTAGGTGTAATTAAATCTATTATGGACTCATTAACTGTAACGAAAATCCCCCACAAAGCTTCGATTTTCCTAACATGAACAGTTTTGAAGTATTTTACAATATCTAACGGTAGTACTTTTTCAAATCTTAATAATTTTAAACAGGTGGGAACGTTCTGTTTGAGTAATGAATCGGCAACAGTTGGAGAAGTATTCAATGACTCTGTTGTCAAGATAGGAACTTCAGTGAAATATTTCTCAAACACCGCTGCAACTTCTTGATTTGATTTAGTCAATTTATTGTTAATTTATAATTGATAGCTTGAGGTACGAGGTTTGTCTTTACCGGTTTCGCTGTTAATTATACTCCACGTCATTTTAATTTTATTCTTAGCCGTCTTAATTTTATTGCTTATATGTAACGATTTGGCTATGGAGCAAACTCTTTCAAAATTTTAGAATAATTTTGATATATTCTTTAAAAGCATCGGGAAGATTATATGATCTTTCATGGTAAAGGTCATATAACCTTCGTCTATTTTTATGAATTCCTATTGTCGCCCACTCATTAAGTGCGTTGCGACTGTTTCTGAAGAATGTTTTAGAAGTAAATGTTTTTTTTAATTCATTGTTTATAAGGTATAATAATTCTCCATATAAATAGTCTGCATTTTTCTGTTAAGAAAGCGATGGAATATCCACTACTCAATATCGTCCCATGGGAGTTGTGAGAGCCGATAAAGGGAAACTAAAATGGGAAATGGGTAGCAAAATATTCCATATAACAAATCAAAACAAAATAATTTTTTGGTTGCCAAACCGCTTGCCAAACCTGACGGCTCCGTGTCACAGTGGCTTTGCAATGAGTTGCTGCGCTGAGGGGCGTGGGTTCGAATCCCGCACGGCACAAGTATTTGTATGGCCTACAAATAATTGTTCCGCGTCTGGATGTTTGTCCTTGTGCAATCTGTGTTTGTAAACTGCCTCCACGACACAGGAGAAAATCCTAGTGTGGGGGTAATGTTTTTTTAAAACAAAAAAAAACGTGGCAACAATGGCAAAATCCTCCCTACGAAGCAGTCTATAGGAGTGACCTATGTTCAGCAGTGGACTTTTATAGGCGGTAATAGATAGAATCATTGAGCTGATAACGTAGATGCCAGACATTTGACTGTGACGCTTTGGTTTGGTGCTGTCTTTTCAAATCTTAACTATACAAGTGAAGCCAACAACTTCGAAAGTCGTTTGTATCGAATTTGGCCCCCTTTTCAGTTATGTATTTGGTGGGATTAGTTTTATTCAATAAGCTCAAAATATTTGTACTAGGAGTTGTTCACGACCCTAGTCGAATTGTGGATTCGAAACTACATATCTACGTACGCTTCTATGGTTCACCGATACTATTAAACATTCGTATATTGTCACTTCAAACAAAATGTCTCTATAATATTTTTAAATGGTAAGTAACGGTAATGATACATAACACTGCATTTTGTAATCTGTTATTTTCAAAATCGATTAATGAATATTACAATACATTAATAAACTTATTATTACTACAGACAGCTCTTCACGAGTCCAGTGCTTAAAAATAAATACTATTAAAATAAATACACATCTTTATCAATACATCGCATTTACAGTAAATTCAACAATTCGTCCGGTTTTAGGCGACATTTGAAATCGGAAAAAATCATCGCGCGGATATGTTTCCGACGCACATCCATTTTTAAATGAAACACGATATTTCAATTTAGCTCATAAATGAGGAGGGAAATTTGAAATTGGAACATTCGTATTTTTAAATTGTAAATAATTGTATTTTCAAAATAAATTATAACCGGTCTGACGGTGTCATAGAAAAAAAAACATTTTGTATGTACTCACAACTTATCAAGTTTATTTCTCTTATTGAGGAAGAGGCTGGTGTGCAATATTGGACGGTTTGCTGTATTGGAAGCTAAGAAGGAGAAGGATATGGAAGATGTACTCACCGGCTTGTGTCCGCATATCCCTGGATATGATCGCGCCGTGGGTATTGTGAGCACGACACCTGTACACGGTGCTGTGGACATCTTGGCGATATTGGACCGCTGCGAATGGCAGGAACACCAGTGTTCCGTTGTCGAGCACTTGTCTGAAAAGAAAAGGTTTGATGTTAAACATGTAATGATATTGCGTCTGCCTTTGCTCGCAGGAAGGCAAAAAGCTTAAATAAGTATTGCTCTGAAAAAATGAGATGGCTACTCTCATTTTTTTTTATTCAATGTGATAAATGAGCTCACAATCCTGATGTAAAGTGGGTCCCATATTTATGTTTTGGCAAATAGCACACAGTGCACCCGATGGTAAGTGACCCATAGACTCTACGTCTATTCTCGATTAATAATTAAAATAACAATGGCGTTATCACTCTGGAATGGATGCATCGTTTCCAGTAAAAAGGATCTCTGGTTCTCTGCATTAACCATACGAAAGACAGCAGGATTAAACTGATATTTTACGCTGGTATTCTGTGATGTCGATTAAAAATAAAAATTAAGATGTATTGTTACTCTTGAGGACTAAGGTGGAATATAAATGATTGAATATTATGTAATAAATATTACCGACAATTGCCTCGAGGGTATCTTAGAAGTATCTTAAAGTCAACTGAGGCTTACTTGTAATAATTTAAATTTATGTCCAAGGCAATAATCATAAAAACTTCAGTTCAAAAAAAATTAACGAAATCCTATCGAAATTCATTCAAGCTATCCCCTCGGCCATAAAAATTAAAAAAAATATGACAAGTAAAACGAAACAGTCGATTCCCGTAAAATTATTCCGTTCGAACGTAATTTCCTTCGCGACGATAAAAAGGTGAGGCGGAATTAAGGGAGTTTTGCATTCAGCTTATTGTAGAAGAAAAAAGGAAACTGGAAAGCTCGTAATTGGCGCACTGGATCCCGAGGGGCCGGAACTTATTCCGGGAATATTTAAAGACGTACTTGCATATTTGAAGCGCAGATAATTGGTTTACATAGTTCACCTTGTACAATGAATTTGTTTAGATTTTACTTCAAAATACGAACTTATAAATTAATATACTTGCGGTTTTGCTGTATCAATAATGATTTTTTTAATAAAACTGAAGTGACAAATGAACATAAAGTCCACTTGATGGTAAGTGGCTATTGCAGCCCATGGATACCTGCAATCGACTTCAAACAAAGCAGGCTACCACCTCACCTCACTGTCACATCTGAGAACTAATATGGAATGCCTCACAGCATGTAATTTTATTAGCTTCCTATACCCTTCAAACTGGTACACAGTAGTGCAAACACTGCTAATTAGCAGCAGAAGTAGACGGACTCTAAGAAAAGAAAAGGAGTCTAAACTACTAGGGGATAGAGCTCTTTTTGTGTCTGTTAGTCAGCCAGGGTTAGTACCATTCTCTTCCCCAAGCACCAATGCATTCAATGCTGTGTTCCTGTTAATATTTAGTTAAATTAAATATGTATAATTTTATTATTTTATTAATAATTAATAGTATCTCTATAAAGTGGGACTCTTTATTACTAATAAGAATATATACAGGCTTCTTCACAACAATAACTACTTTATGTAAACCTCATCTCGTAGTAACAGTCAAAGTCAAAACAAAATTCTTCCATTTAGGCTTGTTTATCGTAAACAAGCCTAAATTGAAGAATATTAAAAACTTAAAAACTTGTAAATCTACACCGTTTCGGATATTCTCAAAGGAGAACCGACAAGAAACTCTGGCTTCTTTTTATAAAGCGGTGTTTTCAATGTAACAATTTCATTTATAATTACATTGATTCACAATTATATTGAAGTTGTAGTATTATAATTTTATATATTAATAATGATGAGATTACTTTGCCTTCGTTATTATTTTTCCCTCTATTGACTAATTGTAAGTTTTGATATTTTTATTTTAAAACTAGCAACCAGTCCCAGCTTCGCCTAGATATGGTCTAGTAATGTACGCCACATACATATTTATCAGGATTAAGATGATCAAAGTCTATCCATTTTTCGATTTAAAAAAAAATCTTAAAGTTTCTCAGATAAATATAGTTCAGCCATCACGATGATAAGCTCAAGCAGATAGACAGACAAACGGACATAATTTTTAAAAATGGTTGTTTAGGTTTTTATAGCACGTAAATAATTCCTTGAGCTTAATATAAGTCAATAATTTCAATATTACAGACAGTCACCTCAACTTTGTAAGAGGCGACAGGGGGGAATCTAAAACAGAAAAAGGGCAACATCATCTTCCTGACATCAAGTGAAAATAATGGAAAACTGAAGTTTGTGGCCTAATGCTCTACGTTGGATTTTTGATAGGCTTAAATGAGTAAATTAATGAGGTACAAATGAGGTATAATTATACATCTAAGCTGATTGGTGAAAGTTTTTAGTGTACAAATCTAAAAGTTCTTAGGGTAAAAATGTAAAAGTTCTTAGGGTACAAATCTAAAAGTTTTTAAAGTACAAATCTAAAAGTTTTTAGTGTACAAATCCAAAAGTTTTTAGAGTACAAATCTAAAAGTTTAAGGGTACAAATCTAAAAGTTTTTAGGGTACAAATCTAAAAGTTGTTTTATTTCACCACCATCCACGTAGTTTTCAGCACTTAAAATTGCAATTAACAATGATTGCATTAGTGCCAGCGTGAATCGAAACTGGGTTGCTTGTGTACTATCAAATTTAGAACGAGCTTTTAACCAATAAGCCACCTCGGCTCTTGGCGTATTGTATAATTTCATTAAGAAAGGTTTTTTAAATTCAATGTTAGTATAAAATTGGTACCTCCGGGAAATAAGAAAATTGAAATAACAATATCCAAAAAATTGTTTCCTCAGGAGAAGCATAGTATTTTATTAAAGTGTTTACACTTTTAAAAGTTAAAAGCAAAACTCCAAAATTGTTACTTTGAGGTGCTTTTACAAGGCCTTTAATTAGAGGCCACTTTGAAATCGTTTACACCTATAGTTATATTTCCTCTATATTGTCACAAATATCCTATAAAAATAATTTTATTAATAATCGTTACAAAGTTGAACCCTTATTACGTAGTAGCATCATCCTGCAGCTATATTAGTAGTAAAGTTGTAGCACGAATGGTGTTCACGCCCTTAGTTGCCCCGACAAATGTCGACTGTATTAGGGCCCTTCGACGTGCGACGTCGAAGTTTTTAAAATATTACGATTTGGCCTAAACAAATGGGTCGGCTCGATCGGGGAAAGACCACGCTCTCACAGAATACCTAAAATCACAGATGATATTCGCTGGGGTATGGACCAACAGCAGCTCACTATTCTTACGTTGCTGGATTTCAGTAACGCTTTTAACACCGTCGATTTTGACGTATTGTTGAGTCTGCTACGTTCTATTAACATATCTCCAGCGGCAATTGAATGGTTTCAAAGCTATTTGCGTGGCCGCCGGCAGCATGTTATGGTAGAGGGTGCCACATCTACGTGGTGTGAACTAACTGCTGGTGTACCACAGGGTGGCGTGTTGTCTCCTCTCCTTTTTTTGTATTTATTAATTCTATTACTTCACGAATCTTACCAATGCCATCAATGACACCAATACGAATCTTACTGCAATACTTGATTGGAGCAGGTCGTTCAGGCTTAATTTAAATCCCAAAAAGACCCAAGCCATTATTGTTGAAAATAGCACTCTAATCTCGAGAATTTGTTGGGATAACCTTCCATCTATTGTTGTTAATGGTGTTGTGATACCTGTTAGTAAATCTGTAAAAGACGTAGGATTATATATTGATTAAAATCTTTCTTGGTCCCTGCATATTAAGGAGTCCAGCAGAAAGATGTTTGCGGCAGCATCTTATTTAAGCCGTTTGCGTAAGCCGCTTCCCATTCCTACTACCATTTGACTGGCACAGTCTTTGTTACTCCCTATCCTTGATTATGCTGATGCATGCTACTCCAATCTTACTGAGGATCAATTAAATAAACTTCAGCGTCTTCAGAATTTCGCTATTAGGTTCATATTTGGCCTTCGCAAATATGATCATGTTTCCGAGTACCTTATTAAGCTCAAGTGGCTCCCTATCAGGCTTCGTCGGAATACTCATATTCTATCTCTACTGTACTGTGTACTATTTGATCCTAAAACAACGAGTTATCTTAAAGAAAAATTTGAGTTCATGGGCGCAAATAAAGATCATTCCAGAATAGTTAATAAACTTTTACTGCGTATGCCTGCTCACAACTCAAAATTTTTTCATTCCTCCTTTTGTGTCAAAGCAATCAAATTATGGAACTCGATTTCTTTAACAATTAAAAAAGCCCAAAGCATTAAGTCTTTCAAAAATGTGGTAAATGATTATTATTTAAATATGTCTTCTACTTAATATATTTTATTGTCATATCTACTTTTCTTGATAAGGTTTATGTATATGATATATAGTTATAATGTATTACAGAAATATTTATAAAAGTGTATGTATTCTATGTATGTATATGTAGGTATATGTGTATATGTATATATAATATTATTTATTTGATTATTACATTTTCTTATATATTGTTTATACCATGTACTTTTAATATATGCTTGTTTATCTACTATTTATGCACACTTCTAAATATTTAAATGAAAATTATCTCCTTCACCAAGGTTTGCCTGGAAGAGATCGCTGTTTAGCGATAAGGCCACCTAATTGTACATTCGTTTATAAATTTAAGTTTGCTGTATTGCGTAGTGTTTTGTGTGCAATAAAGAGTATAAATAAAATAAATAAATAAATAAAATACCAGCGAAAAATAGCAGCTTAACGCTGCTGTGTTTCGTTTGGTGAGTGTACATCTTAGTCCTCACGGGTGATGCATCTGCATTCTGATTCGTAATCGAGGATACATGTAGATGTCTATGTGCCGCAGCAACCACGTACCATCAAGTGGACTGTATGCTCGTTCGTCATCCTTATCCTTAAAAAAACCCTTATTCAACGACAAACATCAGGTAACAGCATACTTAATTACTGAAGAAGTACTATCACCTAGTAACCACACATACTCATTTGTCAACCCTTATTTAAGTATAATGTATAAAAAAAGAATTATTCTCATAAAATCTTTGTAGTTTTTT